GAAATAGAAGATTTTCCAGAGGGTGAATTGAAGAAACCGTGACTCGTTTGAATAGTGCTGGGAAGGACCGTTCCGCTAGCATTTAATTTCTATTTTCTGCAGGGACCCCGATGCAAGACTTACATGTCTTTTCTTTAGTTTTTACAGATTTGAATGATGAACTTTGAAAATTCATAGTAATTAGTATAAAAATCGTAAAATAGTAAATGAGGACTTTTTGGAATCCTTGTGAAATTCTATATGCACTAGATCTATAATATGACATGTTTTAGTTTAAAGTTTTAGCTGTAAAAATGGATTTGTGCAGTAAGGTTGTAATGCTAGTTGAATTTGTTATTTTCCATAACTGTAGATCTAGGGCTCCAAATGAAGTGAAATTTTTGTGGCATGCTACTCATGTGATGTTTGATGTGTGGTAAAAATTTCATGGTCATTGGTTGCTACATGAGTGAGTTATTGGTTTATCTTGCTCTCACATGATTTCTTGCAATAGCAAATTATCTTTTTTATAGAGGCAGCTATATTTATGCAAATAGTATGAAATTTGTACAGTAGACTATTGAGAGGATATGTGAGCTACTGTAATTTTTGTAGAATTTATTATGCATTTATGGTATATGTTCATAAATACACCTTGATGTCTAAATAAATTAAGAAATGCTTTAAGAAAATTTATTTAGAGGTGAGCACCATCTTTCTGGTGTTCTTTAGTCATGTGTGAAATGTTGGTAAAGTTGGTTTTGCCTAATTATGTGCTTGCAACATAAGTTAATAATTATTTTCTTGCCGATATGGTTTATGGATAGATCTGGGAACTTAGCAAAGTTCTTTATGATAATGTGCTTTGTTGTGAAACTTGTTTATACAAAAGTTGTAGATAATTCATGTATCTAGCTTCTGTTAAAATTTGGTGTCATTTGACCAAGTAGTTTAAGAGTTACAGCTGTTTAAAGGTGGGTTACAGAATTGATTGATCTCTGTCTTGTTTAGACCAGTTTCTGTAAATATATAATTTCAACCCACTTAACTTGTGAATCATGCTGTGATGGTTATAAATGAAATGTAGAGAATTTCTGAATGTCTTGTTTCATGGCTATTGGATTTGTATAACTCTAGTTATGGTCTAAACATGAAGCTATTGTTTCCAGTCCAGAAATAGACATATGCTAGTTGTGGTTGTTTACTTCATGTGTTGCTAAGTGTGGCTTATGCCTTTGTTGATGGTCAAGATATGATACTTGTGACCTTGTTAAACTTGTGTCATGGATGTGCTTGCTCTCTATAGTTAGTTATGTGATGTTAGTTAAATAGCTATTGGTGTCTATGTCTTGCATAATCTTGTGTTTGTCTTGAATGCTTATGTGATGCCTCTTGTATTACCATTCTTCATATTCATGCACTTGCATCTTGCATCTCATCTAGGTGCGCTAGATAAACCACGTGAAGGACGTGATGTTGGAGCCGAACCCGAAGATGGTGTATGGTGGACCTATCCCGAAGGTAAAAGGACTGGACAAGTGCTAGGACGGGAGATGCTCACCAAGCGAGTGTCGTCTAACAAACACTAACATAGTGTTGGATTCCAGGCAAGCCCCGGAGCATTATAAGTCTCCTAATTTATAAAAGCAATTCTTTCTATATATAAAAGTTTATATATTGTTGTATTAAGTTATAGGAGTTGATTGAAACCGTTGATGCATTTATTACTATCCTGACCTACCTTATTACCTTTTACCCTGTTAGATCAGGATCGAATAACTGCTTAGCCTTGCTTAGACCGGTAGCGATCGGTGATATCCGGTCACCTACATTATAGGTGGTTACTGGAAGAATTTAGCTATGAAAAGAATGATATCCTGAAATTAACCATGTGTGATGGATAATTGGAGACCGGACGGAAAAGTTGGAGGCAACCAGACAGGGTTCTGGGGTGCTGTTAGTTTCCGTCTGTGTCGATTAAGGACCGATCGTTGCTCGTCCTTCTTGTCATGTTGAACGCATGCCTCATATTTAGCTGGCCGAATAAAGTACTTTTCGACCGCGAAGCTAGTGGCACTATTCGGGCCGGGATCTACACGGGTGCGCGTATTGGTGCTGATGGGGGTATGACAGGGACGCGAAGAGTGAGCCCAAGGGCAGGTGCGCCCTGATTCCTGGCAGTCGGGCGGTCCCTGGGTACTGCGGCTCCAGATTGTCCCGCGGCTACCTGAATAGTGTCCTTAGTGATCTAAGCTAACCTGACAGGGAAAGCATGGTCTGTGTAAGGAATAAATCATCAGCTGGTTAGGAATCGATTCGAATCGTCATCGCTCCTGGATAGTGAGCACTTGACTCGAGCTACGGCATCGTAGTAATTATTATGGAACAATGATGATTATCTGGATGGTATGGGATATGCTAAATCTAAGTTGGTAACCGAATGTTATTGGTTAATCAAGTGATTGTTATAGTATATATGCTTACCTAGATGGATAGGTCATAATAAAGATGATGCAAAGTACTTAAAATGTTTTATTCATGATAGCTTATGCTTTTCGCAAATGAGTCAGCTAGCCCACTAAAGAAAGCCTTGCATAATCCTTGGTGTCGCTTTATTTTGGTTTATGACGGGTAAGTCTAGCTGAGTACATTCGAGTACTCAGGGTTTATCCCACCATGTTGTAGGTGAAGTTCTTGGCCTACGGAAAATGGTGGCTAACCGCCGGTGGGCTCGATGACTCTATATTTACTTCTCATTTATATGCTTTTATCAGAGGATGGCACTTATGCTAGCATTATATTTGGAACTTATACTAATGTAATCATTTGAAAGCTATGTTGTTTTCACTAAGCGGTTTTGAAATCCAAACTTGTACTATCATTTGTGAACCCATTTGTAATATTATTTTCGCTACAACTCTATGTATGTGATGTGTATTTGTTTAATCACGCGATCTTGGTTGTGATGTTGATTTACCGAGTTCTTTCGGGACACTCGGCGGACTACCGGGTTTATATGAGTGAAAGTATGTGCGTGTCAACGTGTTAGCGGGGATAACCGTACTTGATCTTGTATAAATTGAGCGGTTCTGTCACAGCTGGTATCAAAATTTTTTAAGATTCCCCGTCACATCGAATCTTTGGACGCATGCATGAAACATTAAATATAAATAAAAAATAAAACTAATTACACAGTTTAGACGAAATTCACGAGACGAATCTTTTAAGCATAATTAGACTATGATTAGACACTAATTACCAAATAACAACAAAAGTGCTATAATACTGTTTCGTCAAAAATTTTGCAAACTAAACAAGCCCCAAGTATCGTTAAGCAAGGCGTCACTGGCTATGCGGTATTCCTTCTTGGAGATCTTGTATGAGGCCAAGGCAAAATTCTTAGGAGCCTGTCCTCTAAGTCAAGCCGACACCAAAAATTTGGTTTTGCTCGCATCGCAAGACCCAGCCGCAGGTACCAAGACAACAGCGTGTACTAGACCAAGGCGCCGGCGCCGTGCTGGCCGCCCTTGGCCCTGCCGCCGGCGAGGGCCTGGCGCCGCAGCTCGCGGCCTCGTGGCAGCGGGCGCGCTCACGGCGCCCAAGTGCGAGCGGTGCACGGGGCCGCAAATATGGAAGATGCACCAGACCCAGCCGCAGGTACCGAGACGGTCTCGCTGGTGAGCTTGTTCATGGCGTTGCTGCTCGTCGGTGCGTACGCCTGCATCGACAAGACCGATGGAGCTGGGATGAACATGGACATCAACATGCGCCACCTGCGCCAGGACGCTCTTCATGGTGTTTGCCTCTACGTACAAATATTCATGATTCACTGCTGATTCAGAGTTTCACACTTCAGACTTGCGTTCAGCACCACAGATTGCAATTGAAAATGACTAAAAAGATGGAAGTGGCACATACTACAACTAAGCCCCATCAGCTCAAACAAGAATTAAGCTCAGTTCAACATTTTTTACATTTCAATTTTGTATAGGAATAGATCTCATCCGCCGACGTTGGTGAAAGACTCTGCAGTCCGTGTTGAAACAGAATAGAGTCCGCAAGACCAACTTAGCAACAAAAGATAACAAACTTATAACCACAAAAGATAAGTAGATAATAACTAGATTGTCATTGTTGTAGCTAAAAATGCTATATAGTATATAGCTAAGCAACTTAGCGCTAAAGCGCAATATAACAGTCGTAGTTAACGTAACGGCAAAATCAGCAATTATTAGCGTGAACTCTCTCAAAAGATACAACGCTATAGCGCTGCTATAGCCCGCTATATAAATCCATGCTCCTCGATAAATAATAAACCTATGGTCCCTAGGCTATTACAGGTTAATAGAATGGAAAATAATAGTTCTCTCGCATTATTAGCACAAAAAACTAACAAAAAAATGTAGGTACAAAACGAAACATCCTTTTACAATATTTTATTGGATGTACTGTGCATATTTAAAATAATGATATCAATACAGGTTAATAGAATGGAAAATAATAGTTCTCTCGCATTATTATCACAAAAAACTAACAAAAAAATGTAGGTACAAAACGAAACATCCTTTTACAATATTTTATTGGATGTACTGTGCATATTTAAAATAATGATATCAATAGTATATGGACATAACAATGTCAATTCATGCATTCAGGAGGTGATGCTAGAGAACGCAAGACGGAAAGAGATAGGCCCTTGTAAGCATTATATTATTTTTTTCCATGTAATACACGGACATTTATCTAGTTAATTAATAAACAGGTTACCAGCCACGTCCTCCAAGATCGAGCCGGCTGCACTGCACCGTAGCGCCCCGCCAAAACCCACTTGAGACCTACTATGTCAAGACACACTTGGGCCCGGCCCATCTCATATGCCCATTTCACTCCTGGGTCCTTGTCTTCTCAGCCCAGCTCACCACCCCGACCTGCCTCACACGCCGTATTCCCATTCCCACCGTCGACCACCGGGCCTCGTCGTCGCCGCACCCCGCACCCCGCACCCCGCACCTGCAGCCGCCATGTGGAGGGGCGGCGCCACCGCCGCCTCCGCCGTGAGGACTCTCCGCTCGCGCCTCCTCGTCGACCCCATCCACCACCCGGTCACGTCGCTCGCTCCTATTGCTTCGGCGCGTACCTCCTCCTCCTCTTCGCTCCGTCCACTGCCGTGGCGAACACCATCGTGGAAGAAGCGGCGGCGGCGGCGGCGGCTGTATCCGTTTCGCAGCATACCGGATCCATCTCCGACGCGCTGCGGCACTATGGGAAGTGCTACTGGGAGCTCTCGAAAGCCCGCCTCAGGTGCGTGATTTTCTCTCCCCTCATCCCATCTTACCCATGGATCTGTTGTAATGTTTCTCGGAATAACTTTCGAATATAAATTGAATAACACGGCATCATTTCATGCAACTGCAGATATCACTAGGATAGGTGCTGCTTCACACGGTTTACTATTGTTGTATATCTAGTCCTAGACTAGAGTCGTATGAAGCTGTATAGATTTTTGAGACAAAAGTTTGATAATGGAATCTTCAGTTTTCTTTCTTTTTTAACAACTGAATCAATATCGAGTTTGGGCATGTTCTTTGGTACTTGTGTTGAATTCTGAGAAAATTAGAACTAGGATTTTGTATGCCCATTTTTCGAAGGCATTGATCTTTGACACAAGAAGGGCGGGCCTGGTGCAAACGGTAGAGTCTTACCGCCTGTGACCGGAAGGTCCCAGGTTTGAGTCGCGGTCTCCTCGCATTGCACAGGCGAGGGTAAGGCTTGCCACTGACACCCTTCCCCAGATCCCGCACAGAGCGGGAGCTCTCTGCACTGGGTACGCCCTTTATTGATCTTTGACACATGTTTATGAAAATTGAGCAAAAACCTGTTGAGGTGTATTTAATGTATATATAATGTGTAGAATCCATATGCTCAGTTTTACATGGACTTGTTGCTAAGTGAGAATTCTGCTGTGGCTGATGCTGTCTGTGCTAACTTAACCCCCTGTGATGCTTTTTCTGCAAACTTTTGATCTTTCATTGTATTCTAAGTTAGCTAGGAACTTTGGATAGTATGTTTTTACATTTGTGGTAGGCGCTTTCTTTCATGTTTAATTCTACATGAGTATGCATGCTAAATGTTATTTCTGCTGATACTAATTCTACATGAGCATATTGCACTAGCTAATCTCAACTATGTTAGATTGCATAAATATAAAAAAACTGCTACGTTACTAAACCCAAAACATTTGATAGTACCACTCCACTCCTTTCTAGTTAGAGTGTGTAAATTTAATTGAGACAGTTCTTCAAAATTCAATCTGTGGCAGTGCACACTTGTCATTGTTCCTGTTTTGAAAATGCTAATTCAGCACATGGAACCAGAATAATATCCATAGTCTGTAAAATGGTCTTTTCTCTATAAAGAAATACCCCTGCCCCCCTCCCAAAAAAGGTGTCATTCTAGCTTTGTCCAAAGTCATAATCTTGATTTTGAACAAGTTTATAAAAAAATTACCAATATTTATGTTACCAAATAAGTATCATTAGATAAATAATGATGCAATATATTTTCATATTGGTGTCATAAATGTTGATAATCTTATCCATAAACTTGGTCAAACTTAAGATAGTTTCACTTATGACAAAACTAGAATGACACTTTTTGGTACAGAGGGAGTTCCTGTCTGCCTGTCGTCTACATATAAAAATAGCTATGTAAAGCACCATTATAATGGTATAAAGCTAACATCCATACATTGGTAAGAATGTTAAGTGCCATTTTGGTATAACTGAGATATTTGGTACTGGTAGTGGACAGGCGAGCAGGATGTTTGTCTCCCCAGGGAAAAAAGATGTTTAAGATAACAAAGGATTATTTGCTTCAAATCTCTGGCTCCATGCCTCCATGTGTTGAGTTTATCATGTTTTGGCTACCAACCACCCTCATTTGTTTAATCTTTACGAACTTCCAAGTCAAATGTAATCCCTGGCACTGAACTTGCTAACCTGCTATGTTCAGTTCTGTGCTCTTCGTTCTCACGCTCATTATTACAATCACTTTTCTGTTTTGACATCCATAGGTTGTATTCAGAATGCAAGTCAAACTTTTTTCTTGGACAGTTCATCTTTTGTCCAGACCTTATGCAACTAGCCTTCTGTTGCTGAGAAACATGGTGATTGATTATTTGTTCCAGCAGCACTTTAGGAATTGCCACTCAGTGTCTTACCGACATTTAAGTCCTTGGGACATTGTCACTTTTCAGTGAGTTGGGATTTTCAATCCCAGATTGCTATGAGGGTGTCAATTTTTTCAGTTTTACAATCTTTTCACTCATGCAAGAATCGTTTATTCGCCTAATGTCTCTAGATATTGTATAGCAGCGTGGCACCTCACATGGAATAGGTTCAGACAATCTTGTGATTCAGGATTCAACCTTGCCTGTTCATTTTGGGAGAAAATTTTGTATTTGGCCCTAAAAATAATGCTCCTTTCTTATTTGACATCGAAACTGAAAATCTTTCCTATATGTCCTGAACTCGAGTTTTTCTTTCCTATTTGACACTTCCGTCAGTTTGGGTTGTTAACGGTGTCAAGTCCTATGTGAAAAGTCCGTTTTACCCCTAGAGTTTTTTACTAGTCCTGGCATTCCATGGTTAATATTGCTATCTTTTATGAATGTTTTTATCTTAAACTGCAATGTTTCAGTTTTTGCTTGTGTTAAATAAATAAAGGATCAAACATCATCTTATATAATTACGTATAATTATATTCAGTTTGAAATTAATTATTTAGATACATGAATAACAACAATAAAATAGGTCTCCAACAACATCCAATTTGAAAATGACATGCAGCGGAACAATAGCACATTTATTTTAGAAAACTCACATGTTCAAGATAAATGCAATATTTAGCATCCATGATCACAATAATAGTCGAGATACATTCAGGTTCACATGCACAGAAACATTTTCACAGGATTGCATCCATTACAGACATCTAACACAATACACATTTAGGAAATTTTCTCATACAAGAATCACAAACTCAGCCTTCTTTTGCTTCTTGTGCTCAGTGCCGGACTACTAGGCTGAAGTCTTTTGCTCCTCGTGCCCATTGCAGGGCTATCAAGCTGCGACAAAAGATTCTTTGCAGCATTTTTATCTACTTCTTTCTTCCTCCTTTTGCCTTTTAACTTGACAACAACAGCTTGTGGTTTATCTTTGGATGAGGGAAGCTCAATTGAAAGTGGTTCAGGTTGATTTGAACCACTTCTGGACCTATACATGTTCATGTGTATGAAAACATTATTTGAGATATATTTGATATACATTTCGATAATAAAGAACTTATAAATATATTGGATATACATTTCATATAGAAGGGGCTGGAAAATGCAAGCATATAAAGTTGACCATGGGAATTTACTGTTAGATAGAACTGCTTGCAAAATCAACAAACTAACCATGCAAAATAAATTCAGATTTAGTATAGGCTACCTTTTTGATGCTCCAGAGTTAGAGGAACCCTGCTTTCCCTTTTTCCTACTTGTAATCTCCGAGCTTATACTACAAAAAAGAAGAGAGTTTGGTACTTAGAAGTCACCATTAGCTTTCTATTAGTAGAATATTTATTCAAGTTTTTATTAATTACCTTCCTGTTGGTCTAGAATTAGAGGCAGCACCCTTTCTCTTCTTACTAGCTGTGGGTTCAGGTTCCAAGTTTTGACTATAGTAATATTGAAAGTACTAGGATGAGACACCATGAATTGGAATCTAAATACAGAAAGTGGAAATTGAGCTAACCTTGGTGGAAAAGTCATAGAACGTGTTGGTGCTTCATCCTCCATTGGCACAATGGAACTCTCTGTTGATTTGGTAACCTTCTTCCTCTTTTTCGGTGTTCCTCTACATAAGCAAATAGATAGTAAAGAATATGATCTAATTAAAAAATATGCATAGAAGATGAAATGTACCTAAGAGTTTTCATTGCTTCAATATCTTCTTTGCTGCCCTTCCTGCAGTTGTGCCAGTGATGCCCATATTCCTTACAGATAGGACATTGGTGCTGCCCTTTTTTACCCTTCTTGTCACTACGGCCTTTGTGTCTCTCGGTTTTATGCCTACCAGCTACAGACATTAGTAGTGGTCCATACATGAAGAAGCCATGGGTAGATTTAGGCCACTGTGTCTTGTCAGGAATAGCAGGGATTAATGCACTATAGGCTCCTCTAAATTTCTCAATGGAGTAGTAGAAGTCAACATATTTGTCAATAGGTGCATTAGGTAGTGCTGTAATGAATGCAAGGGCATGTTTGCAAGGAATGCCAGAGACTTGCCATTGTCTGCAAGAACATGTTCGATCAACCAAGTTCACCACAAACCTAAAGCCGCTGCCACCAAATAAGGTAATTTCAGCCACCTCTTCTGAGCATTCTGATACATCCAAGTTCAATTCTCTACTCTGTTCATTTAGCTTCTTAATTATGTGGGGAAGAATGAAGCCATCTAATTTCTTTCCAATTTTTCTCCTTTGGTTCCACTTGATCATAATTAATTGTCTGATCTTATCCATCAAATCATCCAAATTCATGGACTTGTACTGCTTAATCCAATTGTTGAAGCTCTCCGCCAAGTTGTTGGTCACATAGTCCACTTTGCAAATTGTTTTGAATTGACTTCTAGTCCACAACTTCTTGTGACGTCTTAGGTAATCAGTTGCAGCAGGCTTTGCTTTCTCCATCTCAGCCCAATGCTTCTTAAACAAGTATGGGTTCCATGAGTAAGCTGCTGCCCAGAGGTGATCATCAAACACCTTCCCACGGTACCTCTTTTTGAAATTAGTCACCAAGTGAAACATGTACTCTCTATGCTATACCTGTGGAAATACTTCAGCAACAGCTCCCATGATTGCCTGGCCTGCATCAGTGCTTATTGCCAAACCCAGAGGTGACCCAATAGCCTCTCTAAGCCTACTCATGAACAAGATCCAATTGTCATTAGTTTCAGAATAAAAAACTCCAACACAAACAGGATACAACCAACTATGTCCATCAACTGCACAAGCACTAGCCAATTGCCCCTTGAACTTGCCTATCAGGAAGGTGCTATCTATTGCCAAGTAAGGTCTACAACCATTAAGGAACCCATCTATGCAAGGTTTCATGGCAAAAAAGAATCTCCTAAATCTGAATTCCCCATTTACTATGTAATGGTCAATAATTACTTTGCTACCGGGACAAGAGCTCTCAACTTGTGCTTTGAAACTAAACAAATTATTAAAACTGCTATCCCAATCACCATAAAGTTGTTTCATTGCTAGTTGTTGACCCTGATATACCCTCTGGTAGTTGATGCTCACCTTGTGGTGTTCTTTAATTTTCTTTTGCAATGCTGTTGCTCCCAAAGTAGCATCTTCTATCAGAAAGTCCTTCACCTTCCAACATATCCAATGTTTGGTAGCATTCTTTATTCTCTTCTTCCTTCTAGTGCTAGAACAATCATGAGCAAAGTTATTCTTCTTCACCTACAAACGCATTCAAGATAGCTAGTTAGTAAAACATAACATTGTCATACTACATGTAGTAGCAACTAAAAAAATATTCTTACCATAACAGTGCATTTGTCCGCCGTGGTAGATGCATGTAGCCTCCATGGACAATTATCCTCCACTTTCCTTGAACAATAGGCTCTGAACCTACTTTTTGAGCTTTTCTCTGTGTTGAATTCAAACTCATGTTTGATTGCATGTTGACAAAGAGCCAACTTGAACACGTACATGTTATGATAAGTAGTGCCTACTTCCATAGGAGGATCTTCTTCATCGAAATCAGCAATTGGGTGATGATTTACTTCTTCATATGGCTCATCCTCATCAGCCTCTAATTCATCCTCATCCTCAAACTCCTCCTCTGAGCCATCCTCAGACTCATCCTCTGAGCCATCCTCAGCCACTGCTTTTTCCTTCCCTTTTTCAGAACATCCAGGCACATCTACAGCATTCACAGGTACAATGTCCAAGTACATGATCTCCTCATCAACACCAACATGTTCATTCTCTGGTAAAGGATTTCTAAGGTAATCGTCGTCATCCTCCTCTATATTGTTTGCAGGCTGCCCTTCAACATCAAACTCCCACTTAGTGATAGGCTCAAATTTTTCTGAGGGATCACAATAAACGACAAACATCTCTACAACTTTCTCCTTACTGTGTACATCAAACATAGACATCAAATCCTGATCTGATTTTACTACTGGAAAATTCTTAAGAACATTATCATAGTACTGAACATGTGGAATTTCTAAGTAGCCTGGAGGGTACTTCTCTGTAACTGAGTCAATGAAATCCTTATAATTCGACAGATCTGAGTCAACAACCATCTCAAAACTAAAACATTTGACATCCTTTCTAGCCTTTTTGCGATTGCCAAGCAAATGAATTTTCAATAGAAAATTAGTAGCTACATCCATCCTGTGAAAGCACAATAACGTCATGCATGAGAACTTCTTCGACCTATGGCGAACTTTGTACTACTAATTTTTGCAGTGGTGTGATGTTATAGGAAATACGTAATAATATAGCAAAATAATATATTTATACTAGTATACCATGTCACAATATCATAAGACATTTAGAGTACGTGTTAAATTCATATAGAGTACCTCTTCGCCCACAACTATCAATAAAAAAGTATTGTATCAAACATTCAAACATCAGCTATTTGCGGATCAATTTCACTACTACAGCCTATAGGAGAATCAAATTTAGATTTCGGAACACTGAATTGACACAAGGGAAAGGGAGAATCGTTGCCAAAGCCTAAAGACCAATAACGGTTTAGCTTTCACTGGCCTCTGTACGCGGCCCAATAAGCCTAGCTGGAGTCCAATAGTTTTCTGGTCCGCAGAATCTAGTGCGTCCGCCGTCGTCTACCTCCTGACTCCCGAGACACCATCCCTCGTGTAAAAAAACAGAAGCCAAACATGGAGAATAGGCAGTCCGTAGACATAGAGATAATAAACTCACCCTGCAGGGAGTTGGTGCTGTGTCCTGGATGTGCCGCCTTCCACTGTGGCCGCGACGCCCGTCTCCATGGCCGCGAGTGGCGCTTCCGTGGCCGCGTCGTCCTCCTCCGAGGCCGCGCCGCGCGACAACGAGATCGCGCCGCCCGCCACCAACGCCGCACGGGGTGCTTGCTTGGCCGCGTCGCCCGCCCCTGTGCCCGCGTCGCCCGCCTCCGAGCCCGCGCCGCACGCCTGCTTGGCCGCTCTGCCCCCCGCCGTGGCTGCTCCGTCCTCCACCTCCATGGCCGCGCGGGTAGGCTGCTTGGTCGCGCGCGTCGCCTGCTTGGCCGCGCGGACCTCCGTCGTGGCCGCGCCGATCTCCGCCGTGGCCGTGACGCCATCAGCCCAAGCTGCGCCACCCTCCCCAGAAGCCGCGCTGCCATCCCCAGAAGCCGCGCCGCCCTCCGCCTCCATGGCTGCGCCGCCCTCGATCTAGGGTTAGGGGAGGGAAACGGCCTGTACGACCGCGACTCGAGACGAGTCGACCAAGTTACGAACTGCCGCGGCGGACTTCATTTTCTTTTCTTTAGTGACAGGGCATTATGATCTTTTTGCGTTGCCTCAGTTGGACAACTGACGATGTTTCCTCACAGATCTGACGGAAGTGTCAAGTAGCTAACAAAAACTCAAGTTAGGGACATATAAGAAAGATTTTTAGTTTCGGTGTCAAATAAGAAAGAAGCATTATTTTTAGGGCTAAATACAAAATTTTCTCTCATTTTGGGGCCCTTGTAACTGATGACTGAAGATGTAATTTCTAATCATTGATCCATTCGTATTTAGTGCTCTTGTTGTGGCAACTTCGGGGGCTGGCTATGTGCTCGGTAGTGGCAACATCGTGGACATTGCCGGACTTTGTTCCACATGTGCTGGTACAATGATGGTTGCAGCATCTGCAAATACCCTCAACCAGGTATGCATTTATTACTTTTTGACATGCTAAATCAATATACATTGCACTAACATGCATGCAAATCTTTGGTTCTTCATGATCCTGCACGAAATACTAGTTTTCTTAATGTATCCTACTTCCCACACATTACGCAATATCTGAAATTGGAGCTATTGCTTATATGGAATTATGGATAACCCTGGTTGAACTTGCTGTACTTACTTTAGCTGCCCCAAGACAACTCATTTGATCATTAACACCTACTTTCAGGTGTTCGAGATAAAAAATGATGCTCAAATGAAAAGGACAATGCGACGTCCCCTGCCATCTGGTCGCATTAGTCCTGCGCATGCTGCCATGTGGGCTACAAGTGTTGGAGTTGCAGGAACAGCTTTGCTGGCCTGGAAGGTTCTTGCTTTCTCTTTGCATTCTATAGACGTATATTCTACTTTCTTAAATTTACTAAACCCTGAAGTAGATAGAAAGCTGACACTGGAACTAAACATGCAAAAAATTGGCAAGGTTTGTGCAGGCTAATGGCTTGGCAGCTGGGCTTGCAGCTTCTAATCTTGTTCTGTACGCATTTGTGTATACGCCGTTGAAGCAAATACACCCTGTTAATACATGGGTTGGGGCAGTCGTTGGTGCCATTCCACCACTTCTGGGGTAAGTTACTGACCATTTCTTGTATTCTTAGGAATTTTAGTTGTTGTTTGTGTAATGGCATTGTATATATTTTCTGCAAAAGAACATACATAATTGACAGTAGTTGGTCTATAACTCTATATAGAAGGAAAGGTTGCAGTCAAATTGTGAATTTGATTCAACTTTGTAAATGCACGAAGCACAGTCCCTAGTTTCTCTGGGGTGCTTGGACCATGGGACTATGGGCTGAGCTGCACAGGGGTACAGGTGAAAGTATGAGATGCGTTTGATATGCTCTCCTAAGAATCAAGTTGTCTATTGTTAGTCAAGGGCATATCATGACTGCATAAAGTTTGACGTCTAGAATTTGAATTACTAAAATATCTGTACAAAATTGTGATCTTGATCACTCTTTGCAACTATGCTTCAGCAATATCCACCCATCCATGATGCCCTGCAGTTTCCGTTAGATCATATAAAAAGTTTCTGGAAACCTTCAAGTGTGTTTAATATTAGTCGATTCTTGCTGTAGAGTATTTTGTTGTGATCCTATTTGATATGCTGAATATGTCAATAGAGCTGTATACATGTTTTGTAATATGTGATCCTTTACTGTGTCTTCCTCTGTACAGTTGGGCAGCAGCTTCAACTGAACTGTCACTAAATGCGATGATACTACCTGCTGCATTGTACTATTGGCAAATACCTCATTTTATGGCTCTCGCGTACTTATGTCGAAATGATTATCTTGCTGGAGGGTAATTAACTTGTCCCAGTTTGTTACTAGCTGATCTATCTGTAAAGAGTCTATATGAAAATTGTGGCCATGTGACTGGTTGTTTGGTGCAGGTATCGAATGTTTTCTTTTGCTGACCCTACTGGTAAAAGAACTGCATGGGTGTCACTAAGAAATTGTCTGTACATGCTACCTTTGGGGTTATTTGCATACAACTGTAAGTACTAAACATTGAATTTCTACTTTCCTTTTTTAATGTGTTTTTGTAAATTTGAGATCTTATGGAATTAACCCTTGTAGGGGGGCTCACATCTGAGTGGTTCGGTCTTGAAGCTTCACTCCTAACATTAGGCCTTACCATTGGAGCTCTATCATTTGTGCTGGAACCAAGTCCGAAGACTGCCAGGAGAATGTTCTATGGTAGCCTGCTGTATCTCCCTGCCTTCATGGCTGGACTTGTGTTACATCGGCTACCTATTGAACAAAAGGCGCACAACCTGGCTGAGAAAAGTGAGCTGGACGGAGTTCTGTACGGGGCTGATCTGCAGGACAAAGAAAGAGCACGACAGAAACGCCAAGACAGGAAACCTTCTCGTGTGCAATCACGCCCTCCAGTTGCCTATGCTTCTGTGGCTCCATTCCCTTTCCTACCGGTACCCATATATGAGTCTTGAAAACCTTCTCTGGTTCTTCCTGCAGCCGTGGGACTATTCATGCATTTTTGGCTTACATGAATTTCTGCCATCAACGGGAGTCCTTGGTGCGTCTGTTGTTAAAATTATAGAATTTCTTTTTTGGATTGAGCTTTTTGTGGCTCACCTAAATGTAAAAAGCGATGTTGATGCTCATTCTGGTGCCTCGAGTAACACGGATATGCTGATGTCCTGAAACATCGTGCTTTTCTTGTAAAATTCGATGTCCTGAAACATATGCAATAATTTACCGTAGACATGGAGTAACATGGTAATGCACATTCAAGTTCCATGTAAAACGGTTGTTTTCATGATGACGGTACTTTTAGGTTAGAACTGTTATTAAGAATTTACTCTTCATTTTTGGTCGAAATTTCACAAGAGCTCGGGATCCTGTCGTCTTACTTTTGAGGGAAAAAAAGACTACAGTAGTGTGGAACCAAACCTTCTTCGCAGTATGATCTATACACTATGAGTAGATTTTTTCGCTATCCGCTTTGTTCGCTTGAACTTATCAGCCATGAGTAAAGTGTTTTTCTCTCACAATAAATTAGCTTCAGTTGGCTTATTAGCCACGTAAACCATCAGTCGAATAGCTCGACCGGAAGACTATGAGGAGAAGCCCTTGCGGAGTAGCCCGGACGTGACCCGGAGAGGTGGCGCCGCGATGCGCTCGGCAACATCGTCTTCCGCAAGCTCGTGGGGTGCCCCGGCTGCCTCTGCCACGACTACGACCACATCGTCCCCTACTCCAAGGTCCCTGATTCCAACGACAATCCCAAACCACGTTCCGACGCTTTCCTTTGGTGTTATTTTTTGTGGAGATTGATGCAAAAGCCTGGGAACCCAGCGGCTCCTGGACAGCAATGAGACACACTAATATCTACTCTTCCAAATTTTAGTGCTTTTAGATGGTATATATGCTCTTTTTTTTTTTTGCCATAGTATCAGCATATCACTGATCCTGTTAAATTGACAGGGCGGGAAGAGCACATTGGAGAATTGCCAGGTTTTGCAGGTACATCATATCTGTTCTTCTATACAAAGTCTTCTTATCGTTGTTGTTTTGAGAATCATTCCATTGCCCGTCTGTTGATTAAAAAACGTATAAATGAGATAAGTGAGAACAAAAACTTCCTGTACTCTAACCAATATTTTATTAAGGGGTCATGATTATCTTTAGGTAGAATAGCTATTTTCGTCTTCCCCCAGCTTTTGCCTGAGGCTCGGTTTCCTCCCTCAACTATGAAAATAACTGTTTTGGTCCTCAAATTTTTATTTTGGGCTTAGTTCCGTTCTTCAACTATGAAAATAGCCATTTTGGCCCTCAAATACATGGCACCCCATGTTGCCACACCTAAAGACCCATAGGTTTTCATGATGGCTATGTGGACACAAGTAAAATGTCGCTTATACCCTTCCCTATTTAGCCCGTTGCGTGTTGACATTGCTCCTAGACGTGGGCCCACATATAGGGAGATAGGAGATGAGCCTAGTATGTGGGACCCACATGTCGGTGCCATGTCATCGTGCAATCGGTGTGCCACATAGGCGGATTAGCTCAAGTTAGAGTGATTTGGACCTCACATGACACGATTAGTAAGTTTAGGGACCTTGATGTGCATTTTGGAAGTTTGTGGACTTGCATTGCACCTCGAGGCAAGTTCAAGGACCGGCGGTGCATTTTACTCTTTTATTCTTTTTTATTTTAGTTTTTTTTTGAAGAAGAGGGCAAAAAGCCCCTACAGGAAATTTATTGAATAAAAGAGATTAAAACAAAGTACAACAGGACAGTTACAAGACTGAAGCTTAGGAAACAAAGAAAGAAAGAAAGAAAGAAAATGAGAAACAAAAGGCAGATTACAACAGATTTGTATCCATAAGTCAAAAGTATCAGAGAACCTAGCCTTAACCCGTAGGGAAAGGATCTTCATTTCTTTCAGAAAAATAGCTTTGGCCGTCAAAGGGTTTGGAGGGAGTCCCTTGAAAATTAAATCATTTCTCACCGTCCAGATGGCCCAACACATTAAGGTTACCACCAACAGGAAGAAAACATGATGAGATTGATCCCTGATTTGGTTGACAGCTTAAAAATGTCAATATCAGCCTGAATTGATATTCCAATTAGATTCCAACAGTCCTTAGCAAACTGACAGTTCAGGAAAAGGTGTTGCATTGTTTCCTCAGCTCCATTCTGGCAGAGCACACAGTTTTTTTTCAAGTCCACAAACTTTTGCCTCGAGGCAAAACTGACCAAAAGTTTTATTTTAGTTAGCATACATATCATTCGCATTGTGCAGCTGAATGCGGATACAACACTGCCAAGCTTCATTTGATAAACAACAGGTCTTTAATAACCCTTTGGTCTCTACGAACACAATCTTGGTGTATTCAATAGTTGAAACCACAAGACTCCTTGACTTGGGAGCATGCCAAGAACCTCCTTCCTGTGTCTGAGCCTGACCAATAGGAATATAAGATTAGGTACATGCCACGGGGGCATCTTAGCCCAATACCAACCTCCATGTCATTTGTATTTATTCAAGCAACTTTTGGTCCCAACTTTTGGTGACGGATAGGGATGGAGGCGAGGGCATGAGATGGGCTTGGGTGACAAATTGGGCCAGTGGGATTTTGGTTCGGTGCATGTTCGAGGGAATGAGTATAGTAGGGACAGGTAGAAGGGACATGGTGTTTCTGCATTGTCATCATGAAACTGTAGGAGTCTTTGGTTTTTGCTGATAAGGCTTGGCAACGTGGTGTGCCATGTAGGACGAGGGACGAGATGATCCCAAAAATAAGAGTTTGAGGACCAAAATGGTCATTTTGATAGTTGAAGGATGAAATTGAGCCCAAAACAAAATTTTGAGGACTAAAACAGCCATTTTAATAGTTGTTGGACGGAATTGAGCCTTGGGCAGAATTTGGAGGACTAAAATAGCTATTCCGATTATCTATACATCTATAAGAAAGCACAGTGGGTGGTGATTGTTGGATCTACATGAGGGTCTATGCAAGGAATGGTCTGTGTATAGTGTGTGCCGCATAAAGCATAGAGGGCCTTCCACTTTTTTACCTATTCGGTTTGTGGCTTAATTCTACACGTGAAATCCTGATAAAGAGAAGATTGGAACAATGACCTCAATTGCTAGAGCTTATGGCATTAAATACCATTTTACCAGAAATCCATTGCAGCTCAAGGCAACCGACTAGTGATTTGCCATGGTAGTAAATTAAATAATGTGTGATTGAAACACACCAGTGTCATATCTTGCTGGTTAAACAGCGCGGCAAGCAGTATGTATGACTAGTGTGATGGACCTGTTTGTTTTAAGAAGTCACAAAACCACAACAGATGACTGATGTAGAGTTTTATGCTTGCAGGCTACGGTGAATCGATCTAAAGGCAACAAGACTGAGATATCCAAATCTGAGCTCATACAGAAGAGTGCATATTGTAGGGTTTCAGGTAAATAATATCTGTCTTAAAACATTCTTTGTTTTGGAGGAGCATTAGCGATTCAGGTTCTCAGCTTACTGAATAACCCTATTTGATATTGGCAGGACGAGATATGGATCTTGTTGAACTCTCTGCCTATGGAAATGTCCGGCGAGGGCCAGATTCAGGGGGCTGCAAAATCCAATGAAGTAGATATATCTGAGGAATGGCGTCAATCAGTTCGAAGTAGTTGCCTGAACCTGAATGGAGAAAGCTTGATTAATTGTTCTGTCAAATATCTCCAATCATGTTTGTACTATGTAGCTTAACACTTCAAGTGATTTACCCAAGAAAAGAAATCGTGATATATTTGAATCAATGATTGTCTCTATTCATACTCAGTAACCCCAGTCCCACCCGCCCTGAAAAACTGGACTGCCAGCGACGAATCTCCAGTGAAAACCACATTTTGATCTCCATCCCACTAATGACAGGTTGAGTGGGTAATTTGTCTGGATGTTGCGAGATTTGAAAACATTAACACCTGCGGGCTGTGAGTCTTAAGATGACTACACCAACTACCCAATGAATGTACCTTTTCTCTTACCATGCAGCACGGAGAATTTACCATCATGGATCATCTGGAAACACTAATGACAGTACAAACTGTACCTAAGTTGTAGGTTCAGTCAGTTAATGTTGGGATACTGACAGATAACCAATAAGTCGTGTGCTCAGTTTAAATGTTCTGGTGGTACTGTATATTCTTATAAGCTCCTATGTTCGCTTTATTTTTGTATTAATATTTCACTGATTTTGTCAGTATTCCAGAAACTTCTGCAATCGTTGCCCACGTTCCAGGGATTGACTATCAAAGATGTTATGTAAGTTGGGTCAACTTAGTTGTGCTGGACAGGATCATTCTTTTTGACTTCCATGCCCAGGTTCAAAAGTGTGGTCAGGCCAAGCATGTAGAAGTGCATTTTGCTTCAATTGTGACATCACAATTGATCCCATTTCTTGCACTTTTCTGAATATTTTGTTTTGTAGGAGTGTGTACATGGATACTGCATTTTTTCTGCGTGAATTGACTGATCTAACATTTGTATCCACAGATGTATTAGTGGATGAGGACGCATGGAGCTGTATAATATTAAGTGGCAACATGCAGAGAAGCAATATCAACATCAGCCATGATGATGCCAATGAAGCGACAATGACTGGTATAATTGTGAGATTTTCAGCATGTCCTGAAATCTTTACATCTTTATATCGTTGTTCAACTTTAACAATGAGTATGATTCCATGCTTGCCCTGAATCATATTGTACTGTATAACAGATCTCATGTTTTCTGTCATTTTGAATAACACAGACCTGTATTGTATTTCTGTCATTGTGTGATAGTGTGTACAGATCTGTGCTTTACACGTTAAGGCAGTCAACTAATCACGGCATATGTATTTTGTAAACTTGAATTTTGTTGATTAACCAAATTAGTTCAATAGAAGTCAGTGTTGTTGACATCCATGAGACCATACCAGATATTTTTCGGTATGTGAAATTGAGATATGAAACTACATGCTAATTATCTTAAAAAACAAAATCTACTATGACATTATCCTCAGAGTTTATGCCACTAATGTGTGCTACACAGTGCTTTTATAGTTGTGTTACAGGTGCTGTGAAGATCAGCTGAGCGGTTTGGCGTGCCCATTTCCATATTACTTGGCCGGTACCAGGATTAGATAAAAATACCAAGGTCTCCAAGTTATAGCCAGGTTACAACCTACAACTTTCCCAGCCAAATTTTAGAATTGTCCCATATCTTATGCCCGTGGAAAATCACAAACCACTTACAGAATTACTTTTATGATATGTTGTTCAATTCATTGCCAAGATCATTTTAAGGACTTGGGAGTAGCTTAAAAATGGGAGTAGCTTAAAAATTGTGAAGGCAATCTGATGTCTTCAGATTGGAAGCCTTCAGGATTCATTTAGTTTTATTTTTATTTTTTATACATAGACAAGGATGGAATTAAATATTTGCCAATTGCATACTCTGGATTTTTCGTTGTAGTAAAAACAACCAATAGAGTTATCTGCTTAGACATTTCCTGTTTTTGAGGATCACGTGCCCACTGCTCTTACTGTGTCCATGGTGGATTCGTTGAAATCTCATTGTCATCTATCTTTTTCTCTTTTTTCTTTTCTTTAGTTAAGCTTGACTTCATACATTAAACAATTTTCAAAGCAACCATGATAAATTTGTTAAATACTTATTGTGGACCAGAAGGTAGGTACTCTCTCAGTGACCATAGCATTCTAGTGCAACTTTTGTGTTACGTGCCTTTGATGGGAAAGTGCACTAAAAAAGTTTGCCAAAGTTTATGTCCTTAAGGTTTTAAGCTGCCAATGGTATGTAGACACCAAAAGGCAACTGCTTATTGGATTTGACCTTTAGATGTCAAAAGGGATCATTCACTTGTTTCATAACACGGACGAAAGTCGCAACAATAGACATGGTGCGCGTCCAATACTTGCTATCATGTTGTATTGGTACAGTACAGAAAGTATTTCATCACATTAAACATGTTTTTCACATTGTTGAGACTTGAGAGGAATAAAAGTCAGAAGTGTAGTCTAATTAGAGCAATGCTTAGTTAGAAAATTTTTATCCTTCATGCTTTAGACATGGAACAAAAACACAGCAGTTTTAAGCACTTTTCTCTTTCCTAAATCCAACTTTGTTTTTTTAACATTATTCTTTACCCACGGTTTTTCTTTGTCTGCAAAATTTGCATGTTCTTGTAATAAGTAGATTGGATATCAGATGGACATTGGAAGTTTCGATTTAAGGTCAAACATGCTGGCCTATTAAACTGGTTGACAATGGTCTAAGTGGAGTTGCCACTACCAGATGTGAATGAGTGAAAAAGTAGGATGAGTGGTGGTAATAATGCATGCTATGGAAATATTCTAAAGGGTCGAGTGTTACCTAACAAAGGGGAAACTTTATTTACTAGTAGTACCTATCAGCATATGTTTCATGATGAGTACCAAGATTTTGTTCGTATTTATGGATCCCAAATTTCAAGTTTCAGCTTAAGATAATTACTGTTGTGTCATACTGTCATATCAACATGCACGGAGCAGACCCAATACAGAATATCATTTTTTCTCCATACAAATACAAATACAGCTTCTTTGACATTTTAAAAAATTAGAGTCAGGCTATGTTATTGTTGATTTTTAAAACATAAAGACAAGGACAAGTGTGCTCTGTGCTACCAGTCAGTTAAGAAAAAGGTCAGCAATTAGGCTGAAGTACACTATAGTTATCAAAAAAAAATTTGGGGGGGGGGTCAGAAGCAGCCACTTTATGCCTAATTAGAGACTAGACTTTTTTGCAGAAGCTTCTCTTTCTTTCAGATCGCATGGTGGCATGTTGAATACCGGTCTAATTTATCAGATAGTCAGACGAGAATTTGGTGTGAATTTTAATATTTTTTGTGACCCTCTTTTCTTATTGGTTCGATTTTTTCTGCAGGACAGTTGGCAGTATCCAGTTTGTGTGAAGGCAGAAAGCAATAATTTATTCCTCTTTGGCATTTGAGGTCAGTGGGACATTCAGTAGTTGTCTATCGCTTTCCAACTTTCTTCTGTGCCTTTGTCCACTTTTTGTATCACTTTCATGATCCTTTTATCTCAAATAAAAGGAATAAAGAAACAAAGGATAAGACCGGAAGGAAAGATACTGACAACGAGGAGAGAATTGCACCGGAGGCCCCGGAACTTGCTTGATTATCTCACCAGCCCCTCAAACATGAGACAGTTTTCTTTCTTGCTCCCCTTGAACTTACACGTTATCTCACCTAATCCCCCCGAATAGGGACAAAATTTAAGCAGCCTCGGTGAGAGAACCAAGCAAGTTTGAGGGGCCTGTCAAGCATGCAAGCTCATGGGCTAGTGGATAACTACACAAATTCACAGGGTTAAGGATGCAAATTGTAAGTTCCGAGGTCTAGTTCAGACAAGTGCGCAAATTTAGGGCCTATGGTGCAATTTTCTAAAACAACGACTCAGATATTGTTTCTTCAGCAGCTGACAATTCTTATGCAGGAAGAAATAGACAAATGGAAACGAACCGAATATATGCTAAAAAGTATCAAATTTTCAAGAATACGGTGGACCACTTTTGTTCACTGAAATGGGCCAACAGCCAATTGTTCAGAACATCTGATGCTATTGCTGAAAAACAATTTTGCAACCAAATATTTCAATCTTTATAATATTATTTATTATATCCACAAATAAGGAAACTTGCTCTCCTTATCCATCCCCGACCCATATATATGGTGAGCTATGTTATACACCCCTCCATTGCCCACACCTAGATTACTTACAATCCTCTAATGTACAAAATTTCAGCTGTGCCGCACTAAACGGCTCGTCTTAACAGAATTGAGGTTCATGTGATGTTCAAGATCCCTCCTGGAAGGTCAATGACCGTGAGAGCGCAGCTGGATTCCCCTGCAAGAACGGCAAGCCGTTGATGACTGAGTGAGTTGCCGTCCTTGCCTCTTCTTTCTGCTCAAAAACCCTTGCAAACTTGCACCCTCTGTCATCTTTGCCAGCCTTGTCGCCATTGATCCCGATTAGAGACAAGATAGAACTCCTGGCCACCTCATCCACGTCATCGATTCGGATCGTCTTTGGCACCCACACCTTGCCATTTCCTTTGGTATCTCCTTCCTCGTTGCAGTCTCTAGGGCGCTTTCCTGGTGTGAAGCAATTGGACTTCGTGGATGCTGGAGAAGTAGTGCTAAGGGTCGAACCCATCTCGGACGGGGAGTGAGGCGGCCATGGGGCATTCCAAGCTCCTGGAACCATGCAACCCCAGTAGGCAGCAGCTGCCGGGTAGAACGGAATTGCTATGCTGCCTGGGGTGGTGTAACAGGCAGGTGGTGGTGCACAGCTAAATGGCCACATGGCCACCCCGTTCATGCATGGATGCTGAACAATTTTTGCAGATTTCTCTGCTGTAACATTCTCCTTTTGGTTTGAGTCTTCTGCCTTCGCAGGTCCTTCAGTGCAAGAGCCAACTGAACGTTCATCGCCGTTCTTGATCCCCGCTATTGGGATGAGCTTCTCCTTCAGGTGCTTCATCTGTTCTGTGAGGTCTAAACTGGACATGTCAGAGCCGAAGCTGAGCACCGTGCCATTCGTCTTGGCTGCCGTGCAGAGGGGATCGATGGGCAGAGCGGCCCTGACCCTCTGAAGGAAGTGGGAAGCGGCTGACGCGCTCTTGCTCTTGCGCCGGCCTGCACCCACAGGCACGTTGCGCATGGCACCGCCAGCAGTCCAGTACCTTTGGCAGTTCTTGCAGAAGTGGCGTGGCTGCTTGATGTTGTAGTTGTTATAGTAGCAGAACTTGGTGTCCATGCTGTTGCACCGGGGGCACGGCAGGATCTTGTCAGGCTTCTTGAGCTTCTCCATCTGGTTGGCCGCCTCGCCCTGCTGTTTGTCTGCCGAGGAGGTCTTGGCAGCCGACGAGTCTTCAGTGTCCGCAACCTCCTGCTGCGGAGGCGAGCCTGTGGAGTCCTGAAGGGTGTTCTCTTGCCCCTTCGGATCAGTGGTGCCGCTGCTGCCGCTTTGTTGGATGTCCTGCAATCATGCAGATAAGCTTGCTGAGTTCTTGGCCTACTGAAGTTCTCGCAAGAGTTTAAGTTTCAGCTTTATTGGTGAAAAATTAGAAGTTCACATCCTAAAGGGTATACAGGAACGGTTGTATCAGTGAATTTTAATGTTATTTATTTTCTTTTTAGCTCTTGATAGCTACCAAAACAGCTGTTGATGGTGTGATTTTAACACTAAAGCATGGTGATGTAATTGATCCGTATCATACGGCGCATGCATGATGTTCTGAATTAGAGCTCAAGAAACAAATTAATGATGTTGCAATCGGTAGTGGTTGATATAGCAGATTCTGGACCCAGTAGTAGTGTAATAAAAGATATTTGGTGGCAAAATCCTTGAAAGCAAGGGAAAAGCTAAATCCTGCACCACCTCTGAATAAACTACCAAGTGTTTCTTCGGCTGACATAAAACCATAGCCTATGTTGGACGAAAACAGCAAGAGCACTGCTGTTAGAGAGAGAGAGAGAGAGAGAGAGAGGTACCAAAAAAAATACGGTAAAATTCGCTTGCTAATGGAAGCCAAAAGTGGTAAACATGGAAAAAAGGAAAAACAGGAAGAACAGAAAACCACCATCCTAAATATATACTATAAATCTTATTAAGGGAGCAACTGCAACAGAAAATCATCAAATCGTCTAGTACATGAGTTGCCACGGTGGAATCGTCTAGTTTGCCACGGTGGAACCTAGCAGGCGACCCCTGGCGGCTCGCCGATGAAGTGCAAAGGAAAAGATTTCCTTCTGTATGAACGAGGAATACTCTATTTTTCTAGATAAAATATTTTCGATCGCCGAGGCTCTTAAAAGTTTGTAGGTGGAAAACAAAATTCTGATTGCCCACTGATCACTGGGTGTGTTCAAGCAAGCAATCACTCCTACCGTTGGCTCCAATTCAAACATGGCTTTCTTTTGCTTGGGAAAGAGAGATGTTGGGAGGAGGGAGAAGAGAAACGAGACCAACCTTGGCAGCGTCGCCCACGGCGGCCGTCTCCGGCACGGGGATGGTCTTCCCGAACAGCTTGATGAGGCCGTCTCCTGCTCTGCCCTCCCCCATCTCTCCCTCCCTCCCGCTATGCTTCTCGTCTCTTCTCTCCGAAACTTCTTCTCGGAGTTCTCGCCTACTGCGTGCGTTCTAGAATAATTTCTCTTGGAGTTGGAGCAGCAGTCTTGTTTACTGCACCACCACCATAGCAAAGCAGCAGCAGCAGCGGCGGCGGCGATCGGTCCAGGAATGAGAATTTATCTCCCTGGAGGCCTGGATGGACGGAAGTCGATCGAGGATGGATGGATCGATCGGAGCGGACGGGGAATTGGGGATAGTTTTAAGGGAGCGGGAGGCGGGGGGTGGGGGCCACGTGGGCGAGCGGGCGGTGGCCGAGAGCCACAAGCTTGATTTGTGGCCTCCGGGGTGCGGTATTTTGATTCTCCCCACTATCTTGCTTTTGCCCCTAGGTCCCTCTCACCCCACCTGACTTGGCAATCAATTCAAAACCCCCTTCGCTGCTGACGTCGACGTCGAACACTAGCGCTTCTCCTTTGCTCACTACTACTCCTTTCTCCTTTCTCGTCCTGTTTTTTTTTTCTTTCTTTTCCCCAAGCTTCCATTTTCCACCCGGGCTGTGAGTGCTGCCATTGAACATGAAAAGGCCAGGTCCATGTCCATGTCCATTTAGCTGAGACCTATATTTTTGTGAATTAATCGTGGGGTGCTTTTGAGGAGCAGAAAATTAACTAGACTGGTCTGGTTTTCAAAATTTAGTTCTAAATATATATGTGCTTAGACGCCTTGTTTATCTGCCAACCGCAAAACTAGACAAAACAACGTGTATGGCTTTCCTTAGCCGAGGCGAGCTGCGGATTACAAACCGTGTCCCTAGAACTCTTGGCGAGAATTGAAATAGAGTGGTGAAGCATTCAGGACACACCGAACTCTGGCGTACATCTATGTTAGCCTTAACACAAAGTTGATTTCCAAACATGCATTCGTGGGATGAAGGCACAAGACTACACTACTACCTTTTTCCTGTTATATACATGTAAACATATATCACTTTCAAAGTTCTGGCACACCTCTCTCTCTCTCTCTCTAACTCTATGTTCCCCACATAACTATATGCTGAGGCACTAGTATTTGGGCTCACAACGCGTGCTTGAGTATATGTTTCACGGTTATGTCAGATGAAACCGTCGATACCTCTACAAGCTACCGTCAGACCCTCTAAGCCACTCGCTCGCGTGACATGGAGCCTCGGTGCTTATGTGGAGGTTGGGACATATAGAACCAGCCTGGCGCGTTGAGGCTGGCCTCAAGTGGAGGGGCCGAGCTTTCTTCAATGCGTGGCAGAGCTGCATTGTAGCCCGATAGAGACTGGCGTGCTGAAGTTGCGGTGCAGCAAGATGTGGTTGTCAACCAAAGAGGGAATCATGCTCACGGATTTATTTTTGAACTCTCTAGCTAATAAACTCCCTAGAAGGAAAGAAAAACTCGTGTGTGTAGATTGGGTCAGGATGAAGTTGGTTACAAGGAATTTGTTCGTGTTCACAGAGTTAGCGTGACTTGTTTTATTTGCTTTCACAAAAGCAACCGGTTTTCCCTTAGAGGTAGCATTAGAAAAGTTGGGCTTTAAAAGAACAGTTGCGGCTTATGCCATTTGATAAAACTCATACATCTGTCATCATATGTGTGCCACTTGGTCTCTGAAGGCGATGTGCCTTTTATATTCAGGCCAGGTGGAGAAAACATGAGAATGGCAGTGTTGCAATGTGTTTTAGTTTCCACTTGCATCATCATCTCCTGTTTGAGCATTTTTCGGCTTAACAATAATAATTTGTTTTCCTTTGTAGTTTAGGTGCCTCTGCAAGTTTGGTTAGTTCCTTTTATGCGAAGGACAATGTGAGTGTGATGTTATTGCTATTGGAAACACTTGCACCTACATTTATAGTAGTCTTGGGTCTCCATTCTGCCAATGAATATCCAAAACCTATGCGATAACACACATGCTTCTATGCTAATTATTCCATCCGTTCCAAATTATAAGTCGCTTTGATTTTTTGGTTCATCCATTTTACTATATATCTAAACATATTATTATATCTAGATGCATAGCAAAATGGAGGTACAAAAAAATCAAAACCACTTATAATTTAGAACATATGGAGTATGTGTCAAATGTCCCTTGTTTGAAGCAACACTTTGCATCTGAAAGCAATTCTACATTTAGTGGCAGGAAATAGCATAGCAGCTCAGTTTTCTTAATAAGTCTATTACAAAACACTAACGCATGCATCTTGGCATCTTGGGAGTATGGGACCTAGACCCATAAGCTATATGTTTTGCTTTATGATTTGGGAGCGCTGTCTATCACTAGCTAGCTAGGCTTCAACTTAGATGGCACTACATAGAAAAGTGACTCTGGCTCAACTTATTAGGGTGAGAGATATCGTGTGCTTCCCAACCAATATGTCTGGGTCTTCCTCAACTCAAATTTTGGTGTTTATTTGTTTCTTAGGACGTGTTTAGGAAGGCTCCGATTACACGTGCTCAAGTATCGGAGCCAAAGCCCCTCAACGGAAATCGATTTTGTGGCTTCACCTCTGTATGATAAAAACGGCTCCGACTCCTCTCATATGTGTGTTTGGTATGGCTCCATCGACTTTGGTGCACGAGCTGGTGATGGGGCTGTGCAGGAGCCGCACCAAACAAGACCTTAATGAAAAACTATCTAGCTATTAGTTTCTCCTGTGATGGGTCTTGTTTCTTTATAAGCTGCCACTGCATCATGTAACTTGCATTGGCAACGCCAATATTAATTTGATGTTGCCTTGCCGTTGCTTTCTAATTTTCTATACAGTCATAGATATATGATATGGAGAACTGTTACATCTCATATAATATACAAACAGGCACATCCGGGGATCATGGTCCCTGAGGCCATATGTTCCGTACGTGTGTCTTTTCATGTCTCTGTTCATTTGGCAAAACTTTTCGTTGCTACTTTGGCTAGGGCACATGTTTCATTTTAGAGCCATATATACAGCACAGGGAACTAGAGCCTAATATCTGTCTTTTGTGTGCTAGTGTGGTTCTTAGCCGTTCATTCCATACCAACGAACCTATATGAACTGCAACTTGGTAGCTCCCGAGTTCCATCAACTTTAAAGTTAAAAGATTGCAGCTGAGAAAAAGGCTTATATGCTTTCTCATGATACCTAGCAACTTCATGTGTTGTGGCCAGATATCTCCTTGCAAATTCCATGCGTCGAAGACAAGTCTCAGATGAGAAGAATATATATACGAGACGCTGCAGTTTGCATTAGCAGAAAAGGTTTAACGAGTTTTTATGCTTTATGTTGACGTCATTGACGAGAAGGGGTCCATAAGAAGGATTGACAAGAGAAAAATCTTCTATGTTATTTGTGTTAAAACCATATGTTTCATGGTACAAAAATGGAAATACATGTCCATAAGATACATACTCTAGCTGGTGGCGGTGTACCGTGTATCGATGCTTTTAATTTTCAGCAGTTAATTTATGGATTTATAGTTATAATTACGAGAGCAAAGGGACATGACCAATTTCAAAGTGTGGTTTCGCCTTAGTAGAAGATGACCTTCCAACCTACAATATGCAGGCTCATAATACAATTCTTTTTACGCAACACTTTTTTTTTTGTGAATTACGGAACAAAACGTTTGACAAGCCAACAATACGAAGCTTTTAACCATGTGCATTTATAAGCAATTATCTTTCCTCATGATAAACTTTCATAAGACAATTTTTTTTTGAACGAAGCCAAATTGTTTTGTTGGGGCAATGCTATGGGCTATGAAACTGAATGGTCACAAATTTTGGGTGTCACAATGGTTGTTAGACGTTAAAGCATTTGGTATATTCTAATAATACACCATAGAAAGATTTATAACAAATAATAGAGACAAAGTGGAAAAAGGTTTTAGAAAGACCTAAGCAGTTGAAGGGCAAATACATAGCATTGGAGCAGAGCTAGTGTTAATTAACTATGCCCTCAGAGTCAACTTATGTTCACGTTATTATCTAGGCTCCTCCACTTTGCTTTGCGGGAGGAGCTGTCCTTATGTGAGACAGGCGTCTAGGCACGATGGCTTCCTTGGAAGTTGCAACTTGCAGCAGTTGCTTTTAAATTTTGCTAGGGAACCGGACCATCTAGCACTTGGGCGGGGTGGGTTCAAGTCCCCGCTACCGTTACTCGAAGCATAAAAGTCCTCCTAAGCCTCCCCTATAATTTAGTACCCATGGAAGCTTAAAAGGATGGATTAGAGATGGAAGATAATGGAAGAAGCCCTACCTAACCTATTTTGTTGGACCCCGCCACTGCTAGAGAAGAAATGACTATTCACTAGTTTCGTTATGTCATATATATTTAAATTTCTAGTGTCTTAGACTTTGAAACATAGAATACCTTGTTAAATTATGAAGAAAATGGGTTTTCTTTAGTAATAATAATGAACATCTCTGTAAATCTTTGTTTGATGCAGTGGCTAGGATGATTTATTTCTTTATGAAAAAGATGCTACCCACTTAGAAAAATAGAGTTTAGAGTGGGTGTAGTGGTATTGCCACTATCTCCATGAACAGCCAAGATTATTTCTTTTCTAGAATCCTTTCTCAAAGTGGTGGTACTCTGTTTTAATTGGTTCATTCACCCCGGCCCTCCAATTATATAACCGATTACATGTTTGTCAATTCTTTGGTAGAAAGGGATGTTCTAGGTACTTTTGCTTCTTTTTGTTTTTTGATGAGAACAGGAGGGACTCGCCCCTACTGTGATTTTATTAAAAGAGTTATGAAAGAAAAACTTACAAACTTACAGAGCTAACAGGGTTTTGCTTCTTTTGTTCTTATTATCATGGCTTGGTTTAACTAAAACACACAAAAAAAAGACTACTTTTCATAGTACTTTCAAAAAATCCTTCATAGTATCCTAGCAACATATCATCGTGTTATGTGACATAAATCAAATGGTGTCTATGTTAGACGAAAATTACTGCAAGGCTGATTTATAGTACTTAATCCA